GTATTCACATGCAATAGCTATGAGAGTGAATAGAACACGTCCGAAAAGAATGAGAATCCGTCTAAATCAGTTTGAAGTGAGCATGTCATAGACAATAGCTTTTCATGCAATCATAATCGATTGCATTAACGAGCAACGTATCGGTCTAGGATAATGGTTCTCATAGGAAGAAAATTCATCCCTTTTGGGTAATTTGGGGGTAACGGCGGCCTGCCGGATCATCAAAAGGGGTATTGGAGCACCCGAACGGGAGAACCACTCGGTTAGCAGAATAGTATCAACAGTTCAAAAGTTCCAATTGGGTCATACTCAGCCTTATGCTTAACTTTGAGTTCAGGCTAACATCTAGGCTCAAACACTAGACACATTTCCACTATACAATATTTGACCGTGTTCAAACAGAATCCAGCATTTTTCAGGGGGAAATCGTTCAGAAGCATTGACCCCTCAGAAATTCGAGTCAAATGCCAAGTGCATATTCAGGATATTGATTACGCAAACTGTTTTGACTGAGATTCTCGCGACTAAGATCTGTGAACGAGTCCCGCATAAATTCTATCAACTTTATGCCATTACAGTGCACATTAGTTTCAGTTGAGTTACATTCAACAGAATGGCGCACAACCGGAGCATTTATCGCAGAGCTGGATGTATCAACTGATTCTTGCTGTGCGATACATGCATGCACTGTCGATAGCGCATCGCGACTTGAAACTGGAAAACATTTTGTTGTTCGATTGCGAAACCGTTAAGATCGCTGATTTTGGATTCTGTCGTATGCTGGTGAGCTGTTCGCTTTCGCTTTCGATTCATTGCCACACTTGCAAATGACGGTATTTCATCACATCGTGATCAGTATCCCATTAAATATCCCATCTCTCAGGCTTAACGATATTAAACGTTGCATAAACACGTGGGACAAGATAAATCTGCTGTGCAATTTTTGCAATCCGTTCTGTGCGACTCTCCAACTGTTCTGTTTCGACCTTTAAACTGCTCTGTTCTGTTTTATTCTCCAGTTTGTTTTTTTTTTGAAGCTGTTCTGTTCCACCCTTTTTTGCATCTCCATATTTTCGCCGTTGTTCTGTCCTGTTTCTTGGGGAAAAAATTCTATTCATGTTCCTTGGAAAAGAACATGAATAGAATAGCTCAACTGGANATACATATGCATACGTTGAATCGCTACAGAGCTCTGCCTTTCGTGAATTCTAGTTCAATTTTGTTGTTTGAATGATCCTCTGCTCTGATCGCTTCATATTGACGATAAATCAAACTATTACCGATTCAGGGCTCAGAACGCGATCTGTCGTTGACGTTTTGCGGATCGAAATCCTATTCGGCGCCAGAAATTCTTCTCGGACGTGCCTATCCACCATTTAAAGCAGATGTCTGGTTCGTACTTCCATATACGTTGATATGCTTCAATCGTCAAGTGTACAATCTTTCGAAACAACAGTTGTGTTCTCAGATAGGATCGCGCATATCTTGTTAGAACTAGCTGATATCTAGGTAGAAACGTACTTGACTATAAATTATTTCACTTTGATAAGTTGTTTGCATCGACAAATGAGATCGAACGACACATTCAGATCGATAGCAATAAATGTACGTGTGAGCGATGTATGTGATATAATCTCATTCAAAAAAATCCTCTTAATAGACAGCATTCAGCAAATACTGATGTAGATCAATAATCATTGCGAAGATGGTGATTTGATGTGTGCTCAGTCCATTAACTCATAGCAATTCAAGCTATTATACAATAGTCTAAAAATATGTGTTTTGTGTTCAGGCGATATTTTTCGAATGCTTTCGCCATTAATTCTCTCTAAGTCAAGTTATAATCACCCCGATACTGCTGCTATTGTTTCGTTTGCTTCGGCGTTGATCGATGAATTTCGATTCAGTTTAGTTGTTTGGTCGAGACTTTTTAAATGTTTTGCATAATAAGTGACTAAATCAGTGGTTCTCATTGGGGGTGAAATTGCCCACTTTGGATAATTTGGAGGTGTCAAAAGGTAATGGAGGAGATCGGGAAATTAGTATTTCATGCAGTTGTTATGGTATAATAAAACGCCATTGTGATGGTGTTTTTTGCATGAACAGATTGAATACAACACGTCTGAAAAAATGAGAATCCATCTGAATCAGTTTGAAGTGAGCGTGTCAGAGACAATAGCGTGCAATTATAACCGATTGCATGAAATGGTTCTCATAGGAAGTCAATTTACCCGTTTTGGGTAATGTGGGAGTAACGGCGGCCCGCCGGATCATCTAAAAGGGTAATGGAGCACCCTAACTTGAGAACCACTGAACTAAATGAAAATCCAGTAATGACAAATGAATGCTTGCATATGCACTATCATTAAGATTACACGCAAAAATCTTTCGAAAATGAGTCTTTTCAGGTTGATATTCAGCCGTAGTTGTTGATAGAGCTGACTTCAGGTCTCTTGGTGTGATAGCGTTTGTGATCGTGACCAATCGAATGCCGTTCGATGAGCATGTGTCGAGCAATACGGTTATTGTGAATGCACAACACAAACGATCCTATCACTATCCGAAACAGTTGAGGATCAGCGATGCATGCCGTTATTCAATCGACAAAATGATGACTTTTGACTACAAAATAAGGCCGGATATCCATGAAGTTCGTTTTCCTATGTTACTGCTTTCCTTTGGTTTGATCACTGAAAATAATGTGTGTGGATAGGATAAGGTGTTTGTGTGTTGCATTTTACACTGTTTATTTTGGATGACTGAAGTTGAAGTTGAAGCGAGTTATAGAATGCTGAACNTGTTTTCAGACTATGCGTTTACCATGGTTTCATCCTAATCGCACCACTGTGACGAGACGTTCAACAAGAAGCTGATAAACGGAAATTGCTCAATAAATTCGACTATTGGCTCAAGTTGAATCAATTGTTAACATTTAAGTGATATGAATGAGAACAAATTCTGTTGTTGAAAGGATGGACATTTGCATCTATGAATTTGCATTTATAGAATAGTCAGTTGAGACGTTTTAGTGGTGTTGAGATTAGTGCATTTTGTTATAACTCTTTTCTTAGGCGGATGTTTATCGTCTTGATGCATTTTTTGAAAGATTGTTTGATTATTCATTTGTGTCTCATTTGTAGATTTAATCTCTTCCTTAATTAGAAGATTATCTGTTAACTTGTAATATTGAATGTGTGTTAGAGGCGTATATCGATGAATTGCTTCAATATTCTCGAATTTGTGATGCATGAAAATGACTGAAACGATATCCTGAAACGTTGCAATTCAGGGGATGATTCTATGAGAAAGTATTTCCATCTAAACTGAATTATTTTGCAATATATTCTATTAGTTATGAAACATTGTTTGATGCTTTATGTCTTGTTGATATTGAAGCATTATCCAGTCATTTTGGTGCTTATTCAGGGAAATATGCATTTTATGTTTGCATTTGCGATCTCTATTCAGCTTATCTCCTTTTCCTGAAACTGTTTAATGATTTTGTCTGTGATTTTTTTTGATAGGATTTATTAGTTCAATCGGGAATTTTAAATGACNATGCGCATATGGCGCAAATATTCATCTATTCATGTGATTAAAAAATAAAAACTTTAGTCAAATTCAACATCTCGCTTTAACTTGTTGGGAATATTTTTCGAGGCGTTCGTCCTTTTCTTTCTCAAGATCAATAATGAACTGAACATTTCAATCACATTCGATCAGTGTGGTGTTTGTCGATGGAAGGTTTAAGTCGAGAATACAATATTTGACGTCTTAAGAAATCAAAGAGCGCTTGATACATGCAGAAAGAATAATGAAGTGGAACAAAAAAAGCGATTGTGAACATCATTGATGGTTGAAACCACAAAGATAAGGAAAGACCATAAATAATACTCATAGCACTGCATAACTAAATCGAAACGCAAACTGAGAATGTCACTTTTTGAAGATTCGTGCGTAGAATTCGAATTGAAACATTGTTTGTGTTTCTTTATATATGGAAATTTATAAAAGTATAGGGAAAATCGCAACAAAACGTGTTCTGATGTGAACTTTTGATGATTCCTGTGTTTTGGTCATTCTACGCACTTTGACGGTTATTTGTTGATATCCTTCCTTTGCCTATACTTGAATTTTTATTCTACTAATTTATTCCCAACTGTTGTTTTTTTCCGTCACTGAAAACATCGCTGCCCATTCAACTCACATTACCTCTTCCTTCAACTCATCTTCTTCTACTTTGTCCTATTGACGATGAGCAAAAGAGAAACTAGTTCTATCGAAATCAGGCGGAGTTCATTTTAACAAACCCGACCTTCGGCAATCACCAAAAGCCCAGAAAACGTCCTAGCAGAAATTTGTTCGTCTCCAATCGCTTCATTCTACTCGTTTCATTATCGTATGCAACGTATCCTCCCTGAGTGCTACCTGCCCACCTCTGCATAACTTCCCGAAAAAACTTCCTTGATGCAAACATTATTTTATCATATTCATCCATAAAATCAATTTTGCTCTGTTCTTCTCATCAACATTGTTCGAAGTTGTGGTTTGCCACCAGTTCGTTATCGTTCTGCTGGAAGTGTTCGTAGTTTTTCATAATGTGATTTAATAAGACAGAAGACATGCTTGGTCTGTTCTAACAAACATGTATGATTCGTGGTTTTCGCCTATTTTCACTTGAACTCAGTGCCTTAGAAAACTGAGCGTATATGTATGCGATTGCAGCAGTTGTGAGGTGATTAGCTCACGAACAAACCAGAAGTGCGCTCAAACAATGCCAGCAATGGAAAAAATACCGGTGACGAGTCCTGAAAGACAACACATTGATAATACAGAATTCACATTTGCTTGGGTGTTGAAACACCTGAATGAAAACGATCACGTTTGGAAGAGTATTACTGCAGGGCGAAGGCGTCTGCAATATGTTTGTGTTTCTTTTTTCACTCTCTTGATTTCGTTCCTCTCATCGTACATATCTTCATAAATGACTTTCTGTTCGTTAATAAATCCCATAATCGAACTCAGGTTTGTGAAAAATCAACAACGAAATTCTCATAATTGTATACGAGAATTTTCAAAAGTTTCATTGAGCAACTTGAATAAGTTTGCGAACAGGATTCTTTTCGATGCAATATGAATTTAATTTTTGTCACTTTCACCAGGAGTTCATACAGAAAACTGATAGCAATTTTGTGTTATATCGTAAAAGTGAGAAGAGATAATAGCTGTTAACTGTAAGATGCAAGCCATATGAAGAAGCACTGTGCTCAGATTTCGTTTCGAACAATAGGCGATGGCAAAGGATTTGCGTCGAAAATTTATATGCTCACAATGGAATTCAGTGACGGTAAAGCTTACCGGGTAGTAATGAAGGTACCAACTGTGGATATTCTCTCAGCAAAGGTGCAAGTTGGAGGAGAACAGAATGCCGATGCAGTGGTCGATAACGTGAAAGTATGTTATTCAGATCAGTGAGTCTTTTTATGATCAATACGATCGATCTGAGATGGCGATCAAGCACAGATTAAATATTGTTCGAGTTGAACGAGTCCATGGAATTGCATCCCATTGCAACGCTGAATGCGGTATTCAGGAGGGAACTCTCAAAGCAAATGCTGCAAATTGAGATTCGTCGTTATAGAGTGCTGTTCTGATGGGACATGCTCGAGAGTGTGAAATGTATTCGAAGCATTACCGTAACGGCATGCCAATGCCAAGGATATTCGCTTTGAAGGATATCGTTCCAGACAGAGAGCGAGGCGCCATTCTCATGGAATACTTAGGCGATAAGGCCGCTAATGTACCTTTCTATAGGTCATTCACTGTTGAACAGGTATTCTCTAGCTCAGTTTTATCATGTGATTTGCATACGTTTCTCATATTACTACAGTATAACAGGTGAAATGCGACAAGATATTTCAAACTTACAATGAACAAGCGGCTGATTTTGTTCAACCAACAAATGATGGTTCACCACCTAGAATGATGATTGTGGTGGTCAGAAGGTTCACCGCGAATTCTTTGAAAATGTTCATCGCATAAGAACATTGTGTCAACAATTGATTTTACTCACTCCCTTTGACATTCAGTTGATCAACATTTCTCGCTGTTTGGCACGACTGCACGCCTATTCAATGAGTCTCTCAGAGACGGATATGAAGAAGCTGGAAGCACGTGAACAAACTGCCGATACAATGGTGTATATTTTCAAAGCGTTTGCTAGCTTGGAACAGAATCCAAACGCGTCCAGATTGAGCAATTTCGCCAAGATCAAGCACTTAATGCAGACGAGTGATTTCGTAAGATATTGCCTTTTCGGTGTTAACAAAGAGCTTGGTGAGCACAATCATTACTCTGTTTTGTTTTTTGCATGTAGTTTCCCTTATTGTTAGAAATTTCGAACTTAAGCAGCCAAGTTTTATGCAACAGCACATGAAAAATTAAGTCGGCAGATTTTTGTGGAAGTTTGAATAAAGGGTTGCAGCTGTGTTCAGTTTATATCTGCACGATGAAGCCCCTTAAAAAATGGAGTACTATAGGACATTTTCGAGACGATGAGGATGCAAGAGGTGCACAAAAAATGCATTGATAAGTTTTATAGAGCGAGGATGAATTCAGTTGAATTTTGCAGGAATGAAGCCGATTATAGTGCATGGTGATATGTGGAGCAATAATATATTCATCAACAAACATGAAGATGGCACTTTTGGGAATGAACCACTTGCTTTCATTGATTGGCAAGCAGCGCATAGCGGTAGCGTTTAATATCTAGATGCTCATCCATGAATGACTGATTCCTGTTCGGTTCCATCTGAAGGACTGTACTCTCGAAGTTCAGATATCAAATTCTCATAGAACTATTGGCTTTCAGGAAGTGTGGGCGAAGATTTGGCTCGACTATACGCATCGTGTCAAGCAGATATCAGACGTGAGGTCGAACAAGTAGGGCTGAATGCTTACTATGAAACGTTTCAGAGGGAAATGAAACGAAGAAGTTTAGATATCGTACATTCAAAAGAACAGGTGATCGTGTTATTTTCTATTGTTGAGAATGTGCTTCTTTCGGTAGTTCAATCTTTTCGCTCTTTCCCACAAGAATAATGTTTATCCGATGAGACTTAACGTCAAGCCTTTCGATTGATCACCAATGCACGCGCAACAAGAACACCTCAAAATTTGCGAACACGCGACAAATGTTTTTCAAAAAATTTCAGGTTGTACTGTCATATCGTAGACTATTCGTCTATCAAGCGTTGCTGCTCGTTGCGGGTGGGAATTTCTTGTTTCGAAATGAAAACTTAGAAGATGAGAACATGAAACGAGTTTGGGAAGCGCGAACTGAGAACCAGCATGTGCGTTCACAATTGGCGATCGATGACGCGATCAGAATTCTCGAAGAGGACATCCCGGAATGGCTCCACAAAAACCATACGTTCATGCGAACAGACTGAAACTCACCAAGCAAGAAATGTATATAAGTGGCTTAACATCATTCATTAGCAGATAAAGGTTTTCGAAAAAAAAGAACTTATGAAATGATGAGCGGATAATGTAGCTGATCTTTTAAAAACTACTTCAAGAAACGGATCGCGATAATTAGTGCAAAAAGGTTTTGCAATCACAAACTCCTCAAACATAAATATGACAAAAAAAACCTTTCTCTACTGCGTTTCTAATAGGTTACATTCAATACCAATGCAAACCTCAACCTTTAACCTGTTCGTTTCTAGTTCTGCGTTTCTTATGTGATAGGTTTTGCTTTAAATAATTGTAATAATATTCTTGTGCAAATTATTATGACATGTTTACGGGATCCACTGAGACATTACATATGAATCATCCAGTCATTATGAATCAACAGTGCATATCGGTTATAAATATTCAATCTATTAAAATCATCATTAAAAAAGTGAATAAATCAATTGTATCAACCGGTTACACGTGTAATCGAATAGGACCATCTTCTTTATCACTGAAAAATCATTGATTCCACTGTCACATTATGAGTCGATTTTGGTTTTGCTATCGCAAATTATTTAACGATTTACTTCCGGATGATGTTGTTTTCTGTTCGAATAAAATATCTGTGCATTCGATCCGATATTGAGTGATTTTTCGTTTTATTAGTCATATCCATGCGAAACATTACCACGAGTGTTACTTGCGTTGCAAATTAGTTTCCAGTGAATCTTCATATGCAGCTGTTGTCATTCTGTATTCGAACGAACATCGTATTGTTTTTTGGATAGGGGCAGATTGATCATTATTGCATTCGTTCGAGTGAATGCAACGTGGACAATAAATGCTCTAACAAAAAGCGATTGAACGAACGAGAAATTCAACATTTCATGTGAAAGCATATTTATTTCAGTTAAATTCCATTCAACGAATCA